AATGGGGGCGCTGGTCTGTCAAGGGGGGGGGGGCGTCCGAAGGTGAGCGTGTAGTGCAGCATCGCTGATGCATTTTAGATGTATTGTGGCCCTCTTCTCCCGCCTCCTCCTCCTGCTCGTCCTGCTCCTCCTCCCGTGTCCTCCTTTCCTGGCTTCCTCTTTCCTTCTCTCCCTCCTCTTCCTCCCTCCTCTTTATTCCTCCTACTCCTGCTTCTCCTCCTCCCCCTTGTCCTTATTCTGTATCCGCCACCGCGCCTTATGCACAGTAGGGCGTGGAATACTGCCAAGGTATGGCTGGTAAGGTCCCTGTGTTCGAACACCCCCCCCTCCTCTCTGGGCTGCACCCCCACGCGTGCATCGACCACCCCACCTCTCAAGGCCACGATCCATCGTACAAGCCTATGGATCTGCGCTCCCGGGGCAACGTTCCCTCGTTAAAGCTATGGATGTGCGCACAGCGCCTCCAAGGCGGCCAGGCAGGCAACCAACGACACAAAAATGATGGCCCAATATGCCTCGCAGACGGCCCAATATAGCCCCACGGCGGACCAATATGGCCTCAAGGCGGCCAAGGATGCCCCCCAGAGGGCCACAAAGGATATAAGCGGATCTCCAACACATTCAGACAAACGAAAAATCAATGATGCCGCGTCGACTGTTGAAATAATTTCGCATTCCCGCTGCTTCTGTTTCCTGGCTTCCGTCAGCTCAAGACGGCCTAAAGAGCCTCAACGATGGCCCCAAGGCGGCCCGAGAGGTCTCCTCCTGCTCCCCCATTCCTCCCCCTCGTCCGCATAAACATTACCACCACCACCACCACAAGCATCAACATCCTCATATTCATCTTTAACTGCATCATCAACATCACCACCATCATCATCACCACCAAGAGCACCATCCTCAGCTTCCTCCTCCGCATCATTGTCATCAACAGCATCATCACCAACATCCGCATGAACATCATAATCAACATCAACATCATCAACATACGCATCATCATCCTCAATACCATCATCATCAACACCTTCATCACCATCATCATGCTCGTCGTCATCCTCGGTGTCACCGTCTTCATTCCCAACAGCATCATCATCATCAGCAGCATCATCATCATCATCGTCATCATCATCATCATCATCATCATCATCATCGCAGTCATCATGACCAGCATCACCATCACTATTCTTATATCATCACAACCATCATCATTGACATACCAGGTATCATTAGCAGCATGATCATCATCACCACCCTCACCCTCACCATCACCATGACCATCATCATCACCATCGACACCACCATGATCATCAAAACCATGGCCATCATCAACATCGTCATCGCCATCATTACAATCGTTTTCATCAGCACCAGCATCACCATCGACATCAGCATCGTCATGCCACACTATACCACCATAGCAACACCACCACCAACATCATAATCATCATTATTATTCGTATTATCATTATTCTCACTATCATCATCACAAGCATCAGAATCACCATCATCACCATCATCATCATCACCATCGCCATCGCCATCACCAACATCATCACTACCATCATCATCATCATCATCATCATCATCATCAGCATCATCATGATCATCATCATCATCATCATCATCATCATCATCATCATCATCATCATCGTCATCATCATCATCATCATCCCCATCATCATCATCATCATCATCATCATCATCATCATCATCATCATCATCATCATCATCATCATCATCATACTCATCATCACTGCTCCCCCAACACCGGAGACACGAGGTGTCACACGTGATGGCCTCCCGTGCCCTCTCGAAGAATCGCCACCCAGAAAGCTGGGCTGGCACGGTGGCGGGACTTCCCACGGGTAGCTGCATCAGTCTATACTCCTACTCTGCCCCACAGCCGGCCGATAGCCACCAAATCGGGGACCCCCCGCCCGAAATGAATTCAAAATCGACTATGTACGTCTCGACATGGACATTCTGTCGCCCATGTTGCAAAACGTGCAGCAAGAACGGGACGGGGCGCACATCCCGCGGGAAAGGCCGAAATGTCGTTCTCGCCCCGGCGCTGTGCTCCTTTTTCGGAAAAAGAAAGCTCCCTCCTTAGGCGCGGCACACATTTTACTTCGTCGACGCGCGAGCGGACTTGTGAGTGAAAGTGGCAGTGCTGTGTCAACGTGGCACGTGCTTCGTTTTCACCGCGGTCATCGGGAGCTCTGCCGCTCCCGCCCCTGAGCGGCCCGCGTAGTTTCCGCTTCGCCAAGTCGTTGGAAGCGGGAACGCGCGCGAGCGCCCTTCGTTTGCGAGGTGGAACGCAGTCCAAAATCCAAATGTCAAGGTGTGCCGCAACTTGTTCGTATGTTGTGGGGGGGAGAATGGGAATAGGCAGGGCTCTTTCACTCGCTCGACCTGGCTAACCAAATTATTTGTGTTTTCCTCCTCCTCCCCCTCCTCCTCCTCCTCCCCCTCCTCCTCCTCCTCCCTGTTCTTTCCTTTCTTCTCCTCCTCCTCCTTCCCTTCCCATCTTTCCATCCCTATTCATTCCTGCATCCCAGGAATCAGCGGATCGAGGACGGCGGAGCAGGACGAGTAAGACGGAGGAGTGGCGGAGGAACAGCAGGAGAAGAGGTGAAGAAACAGCAGCAGCAGGAGGAGCGGCGGGGAGGAGAAGGAGCGGCGAGAAGGAGGGAACGTATGACGGCACGGAGAAGAAAGAGAGCAAGGGGGGGCGCGCCACGGGCATAGGGCCGCGCGACCCAGCAGACCCTCTCCCAGACAGCGACCGAACTTAAGAATATCTACGTGGTCGCCCGCGGGCCATCGGCCGTCGGCGATATTCAGCGGTATGTGTGTGGCAGTTTTCGGCAGGCTCTGGCGGTCTTCTGCCTTGGCGTGGGGGTGCCCCCCTGCACCCCCTGCCAGTCTGGCTGAGTGGTTGTGCTTGGCAAGGGGTCCATCGTGATCGAACACCGACGTATCTTACACGCGGGCGATGGCAAGGAAGAGGAGACGGATGGTCAACTGGTGATTGATCTGGAAAAATTGCTGTGGTGTGGCCTGGGTTGGTCTTTAGTACTCACTCCGGCTTCAACTTTGGCATAAGATGCATTTGCAAGATTTGTTGAATATGTTTATGACTCGATGTGAATATTGGCTGGTCTTTGACGAAACACTCCAACAAGACACCACGATGAGACGCCACGGCGGGACGCGACAACGGAACACCATGACGGGACGCCCATCCCGCCTCGCCAGCAATTGATAAGAACAGGAATAGCAACACAACTCTGTCTTCCAGAATTGCAGACACGGACTCTCCCGCACAGTTCCGCCACACGTAACACTCAACACGAAGCACAGCATTACGATGTCACGGCGGCGGTGGCCTCGCAAATGTAAGTGTCTAACAAGTCCGCCACCGCGCCTGTCTGGCTGGGATTATGTAAGGTATCTCGAACTGCCCACCCCCTCCTCCTCACGCAGTGCCACACTCATCCCCCCCTCCTGCGGTCTTCTGGTGGGCTGACGCGTCCCCAGGGCCAGGGCTCTCCAAGGCTAAGGCTGTCAAGACGGCCCAGGAAGGCCACCAAGGCCGCCAAGATGGCCCAGAATTGTCTCAAGAGGGACCCAACAGCCCCAAAGAAGACCCCAACAGGTACCAAAGGGCTCCCACGAGGCTTTCAGGACACAAAAAAGAATACCAAGAAGCTCTCCAGCAACTCAAACAGCTTAATTGTGAATGTTATGCGTTTCCTGGGCTTCTCGGCTCAAGGTGGGAGAAGCCAAAGAGAAGCCAAACAAGCCCACCAAAGGGCCCCCCGAAGCCCTCCGATGGCCCCGGACAGTACTGAGAGGGCCCCAAGCCGGCCCAAGACAGGCTCAAGATAGCTCAAGAATCCCCAAGAAGCCAAGAGGGTCCGTGGAGGCCCCCAAGACAGCCCCACGAGACTCCCCAGACAGCCGAGATGGGCACGGACGGTCCCAGGACAAAACCTCCCCCCACCCCGTAGGGCAGAGGCACCAGGCGGAGGGACCGGGGGAGGAGGGCGGGAGGGGGCACGGGCTCATCAGGAGAGAGATCCAAGGGCTCCCAACTTCGCGCTTCGCGCTTCGCGCTGCGCGAAGCGCGAAGTGCCAATAACTTCGCGCTCTCGCGCCGCCTCCCAGGGGAGAAGAGGAGGATGAGGAGGAATCGGAGCCGAACCGCGAAACGCGAAGCGCGAATAACTTCGCGTTTTTGAGGGCGCCCTTGGAGATCGGAGGGGCCAGATGGGGGCAAGGGAAGGCCGTGAGTTGGCGGGCGGTGAGCGTCATGCAACGAGCTTCTCCGCCATCGGGGACACCTGCCCCAGGGCGGCTGGAAAGTCCATGGCCTGACGTGCCACCGTAGGGCCTATAAGCTTTCGGGCCGCCCTGGGACAGGCGTCCCCGATGGCGGAAGAGCTTATGCCATACCGTTCTTCGCCCGCTAGGTGAGAGGCCGACGGGCGAGGCGGGCGAGGGCGCCGCCGCGTTTCCAGCGCGGCCGCGCGGCGCGCTCACCGCAGCCGCCGCGGGCGGGGGCCTCCGCAGGCGCGGGCCGCCGCAGGCGCGGCCATGCGGCGCGCTCACAAGAACGCCCCAAGCGCACCGCGGCAACCGCCGGCGGGAGCCGCACCGCGGCCGCACCGGCCAGGGGCAGCGGGCGCCGGGGCCAGGCCGGGCGGGGCCAGCAACACCGTGGCGAGGGGCACGGCCGCGCTCGCGGGGCCGCCGGAGTCCGCGCGGCGACCCGCTGCTCCCCTCCTTCCGCCCTTCAGCCCGCGGGTCCTCTCCTGCCCTCCGCCCTCCGCGCCGCTTCCTGCGCCCTCCCCTGCGACTCACCCCCTTCCACCTCCCCTCCTTCTCTGCTCTGCCTCGCTCCCCGGCGCTTCCCTCCGCGCCGCTTCCCTCCCCTCCCGTCGCCGTCGCCTTCCCTCCCCGTCCAACCCTCGCTCCCTTCTCTCTGACCCATCTGCCCGTCGTACCACCTCCCAAGCGGGGAGGAGGGCGGGAAGGAAGAGGAGCACCTCGCCTCGCAAACTCCCCGGCCCCGGTCTCGCCGGTGGGCGAGGCCGCAACAGACCGTACTTGGTCATGGCCACCACCGCCCGCTGCACTGCGGCTTGCGACTGCAGGAAATCCTCTGAGAGCTGAATGTGCCAGGGTCCTCCTCCTCCTTCTCCTTCTCCTCATGATCATGATCATGATGATGATCATCATCATGATCAGCATCATCATCATAATCATCATCATCATCATCATCATCATCATCATCAGCATCATCATCATCATCATCATCATCATCATCATCATCATAGCCACCATCATTGTCATCGTCATCATCAGCAGCAACGTCATTACCATGATCCAGATCCCGGTCCTGATCCTGATCCTCCTCCTCCTCCTCTTCCTGATCCTCATCATAATATGCATGTTCACACACATCAACATCACTATCACCATTACCGTCACCAGCATCACCGATTTGATCCTCGACGCCTCGTCACAATCATCATAGGTTTGAACTTACGCTCTGTATCAGTATTATCACTGTTCATCCTCATCATCCTCATGATCCTCACCATCACCAACCTCGTCCTCATCCGCTTCCTCTTCCTCCTCCTCCACCTCCTCCTCATTCATCACCATCATCGTCATCGTCATCATCACTAGCATCGTTGTCGTCGTCGTCATTATAATCATCATCAACAGCAAACACACCATCACCATTATCATGTTTCTCATCATCCTCACTATCACCAGCAGCATACCCATCATTGACATCATCATCATCATCATCATCATCATCATCAACATCAGCATCAGCATCAGCAGCAGCAGCAGCCGCATCAGCATCCGCATCCGCATCAGCATCCGCATCATCATGAACAGCAGCAACATCAGCATCCTCATCTTCATCATCACCACCACCACCATCATCATCACAACCACCATCATCATAAACATCATCACCATCATCGTCGTCGTCATCGTCATCATTGTCCTCCTTAATACCCCAGGAACCCGGCCGTGGGTCAGAACGACCAAGCAAATCAAAAGGATCAAAACCTGCCATGCCGCTTCCAAAGCAGTGGTCGGCCCCCCTGGATAAGTGAGCCTCGGGTCCTCGTGAGCAGCTTCCGAATAGAGCCTGACATTCGGGGCTTCAGCCGACTCCAGGGCACGGCGGGAATTCCTCTCGGCCCGGGCCAGGGCCGACGCGGCGTCTTCCAGGAGATCGCTGGCGTCGATGCCGAACGCTGCAGAGTGGAACCAGCCAGACTCCACCACTGGAGCGTCGCGGAAGTCATCTGGCGCCGAGCCGCTTGCCAGAGCCGCTCGCATGGCTGGCCCGAGGTGGTGCCGACAGGGGAGAAGAACTAGGAGGAGGGAAAGAGGGGGGGGCGCCCACAGCGTCTGCGCTTGAGCCGAACTAGTTACGGATGCAAGGGGGCCCGGAGGAGCCTCATTCCCGTCTAAAGCTCGGAGCCCCGTCCCTGGCCGTTATCCTCCTCCTGCGGCTCCATTGGGCTGCACCGCCCAAGTCCCGAACCCGAACACCTGCCACGGGTTGCACAAATGTAACTCGAGGGAGCTGTCAAGGGGCTGGCATGGCGGGGGAAAAGGATCTAGTCGGAACGGGTGTGGAGAGGAGGAAAGGCGATGTGGAAAGGAGGGGGATGGGCAGGAAGGAAAGGAGAGGTGGAGACGGGAGAGGAGGCAATATCATCAGCGATGCGAGGAGAGCGGGGTCGAGAGAGGGAGGGGATGGCGAGGGGAAGAGGGAGTAAAAAGGAGGGAAGAGGGGAGATGGGGGGTTCTCCCCCTCGGGAATGGCCCGGATGTTCCCCTCGACTGTTGGCGAACACGTTCTCCATTGCCACGGCATGTGTCAAGATGAGACGCTGAGCAAAGACGAGGCCTACACATAATAATGGTGACAGCATTGAGGTCGTCAGGGCGGACCGTGCACTTCGCCTAACAATTCATCTAATATGCTCCTGGATATTGACTCGTACACCGTTTACACGGACATAATTAATACGGATGGTTTTCAAAATGAAGCTCTTGCCCGAACGCCACACACATTCGACTTACAACAGAAAACAATTGTTTCACCGATGGAACACGAATGGTTTTCCAAATGGGGCTCCCTGATTAACGCTGCACACATTCGTCTTGAACGTTTTCAATCGTCACGCGGGTAGAGGCCGGTTCCATTTCACCATGGAACCCTCGCCTCAGCGCCGTGCGCACTCGTCTTAAACATGTCGATAGCCACATGGATGGAGGGCACTTCTGCTTCGTCTCACACGTGTCCAACGGTCGCATGATTCGAAAGGTTGATATGCCACGCGTTAAAACAAGTGTATATATTCGTACGACCAGGTCCAAAGCTTCAATAATGGAGTTCTGGACCGACTTGACGTTGTCAGTTGCCGATCCTGGCTTCTGCACCTGTCTAGGACTATTAGAGGATGCCTTCTAATGGAGCTCTTCGTGCAATGCAAATGAATTATGTGGGGGGCTAGGAGGCGGGAGTCCAGGATCGTGCATTGTATTTCAAATCGATAGTACATCTTTGGTTTTCGCTCATTTCCCCTCCTCCTCCTTCATCTGTTCCTCGGTCTTTCTCTCCACACCACCACACTCACCCATTACCGTCATCACCGCCATCGTCATAACCATCCTCATCACACAGATTGTTGCCCACATCCTCCTCAATATCGTCATAATAATCATCACACTCGGAATCGTCAAGCTCATCGTCACCATCACCATCATCCGCATCATTGTCATCGCAATCGCCACAACCGTCTTCATCGTCATCGTCATCGTCATCGTCATCGTCATCATCATCATCATCATCATCATCATCATCATCATCATCATCATCATCATCATCATCACCAACATCGTCGTTAACAACATCACCGCCATCATAATCACCATCATCATCATCAGCATCATCGTCATCACCACAGCCATTATCATACTGTAGATCTAGGGCGGGGAACTGCGCCAGCAGTAAGAATTGTTTTACTGTCGCCATACAATCGTGAACATAACAAAGTATTCGCGGGATCTGTATGTATATATATATATACATAGGACAGCAACTGCTAAGTGCAAGCGCACTTTAAAGTCCTAGAAATGTTCGAACATTCGAATCAATGTGACAGTGATTTCTAAAAAGGCCTTGAGCTGGCGGCGGGAGCCAAAAACAGCAGCGACCGAGTGCTGACTGGCAAGACCAACCATTCCCAGACAATGCAAGGACGACGCAGCGAAGACTCCCAGGGAGCGAACCGCGATTATCAAGGCGCTCACGCACCGAAGGAAGAGGGGTCCACCTGAGCAACGACAAAAACGCTCCTAGCATCATTCATGCGCCCGCACTCCCATGCTGATTTAGAACTGGGGCGGGGAACTGCGCCAGCAGTAAGACTTGTTTTGCTGTGGCTATAATCTCGTGAACATAACAAAGTCTGCGCCAGAGCTGTATATATATATATATATATGACAGCAGTTGTTAAGTGCAAACACAATTTAAAGTCCCTCCACATCCCCACAACGGGTGTTCACTCAAACTTTGACAACCTCACACACGGCCCGAAACGCGGAAGTTTTTGCCAAGGCCCTGTTCAAGGCCTGTAGGTAAGTCTGGGCTATGGCGGTCCATCTCGCCCCCTCTGGATGGGCCCTCTCGAGCTGAAGGCGGGGCTTGCTGGTCCGACTGCAAATGCTGGCACGCCCGTCGCAAATCTTGGACAATCTTGTGAGCTCGTCGGGGTGGCGATGGCCGATAAAAAAAACGTGTTCGCTTCCGCCACCAGGTGCCGAACTGGCAGAAATCGGAGCCAATGGTTGAAACGAAACGACTCTGAGCGAGTTCTAATAACTCAGGGTTTGAAACATGTAGCTACTGTGCGGGTTCTCAAGTATCCAGGGGGGACCCGAACGATTGCAAGCTGCGATTATCTTTAGCACCGCGCGCATACACTTACCTATAGCGAGCTTAGTCCAATCCTTTTCCGACATTGCAAAGCGAGAGAAGCCCCGAGGGCGGGCTTGGCTCCTGATCGGGGCTGAACGAATCTTGGCAATCGAGAAGGACGCGCAGGGCGGCGCCATCATGACGCCTCGACATCTCCCTGACTGGATGTCCGATAGGAGGCGGCGCAGCACATTTCTGCGCGTTAGGTTTCCATGCTCGCCGTGGAACTTCTCCCGCGTTCCCGCCTGGAAGCCGCGCCTCCCGGCGGCGCGGGCGGCGCCTCCCTCGCCGGCGAAGGCGTCTGACAAGTGGGCGCCCCTCGCGCGCGGGCGCTCGCGAGCGGCAGCGGGGCGACCAGCCCGCGCGCGATGATCGCCTCGGCGCGTCGCTCGCGCTCGGCGGCGCATCTCTGGACCTCGATCGGGCGCTCGCGGTAGCCGCTGGCGAGACGCGCGTGCCGCTCGTACCGCAGGGCGCCCTTGTCCGCTCGCCACTGCCCTCTCTTCTTTATATCGGCCAGCGCCCCCAGGTGCCTGGCCGCGTCGATGGGCGGGCCGGGGCGGCGAGATGTCCCGCGCCGCGCGCCAAAAAGGACCTCGGCAGGTCGCCGTAGTCGAACGTCCAACGCGGGCCGTCCCCAGCCGCCTCCTTCAGCTCCCCCATCGCGGGGCCGATCCACTTCGCCCAGCTCGAGCCCAGGAGGATGGGCACATTCGCATCGCCGATCTTGCTCCTGCCCGCCAGCTCCTCGGGATGAACCAGCAGCGACCAGCGAGCCGCCGCCCCGTGAATCGGAGGCGTCAGCCCCGAGCCGCGAACGCTGAGCAGCTGCCCAGGCCTCGGGTGGGTGCTCATCATGATCAGCGCGAACAGGGCCACGTCGCGGCGCCCCGCAGTCACCAGGGCGCTCATCAGCCCGAACCGCCCCAGGCGCCTCGGGCTTCCGCGAGCGGCCGGGGCACAACTTGCACCAGCCGCGAAGCGCTCGCCAGGCTCGTGGGAGTCGCTGCGAGCCCAGGCGGTTGAAGCTCCGGTGGAGGCGCAGCCAGCAGCCGGACAGCGTCTTGGCCCCATCGCGAAGCCATTACGCCGGCGAAGAAAGTCTTCTCGAAGTACTCGGCGAAAAGGCCGTCCAGCTCATGAGCGCCCCCGACGCGGTCGACGCTCTTCCCCCTCGACTCGACGCGCTGCTTGAACCGGTTCACCTCCAACCGGCACTCCGTGCGCGCGGGTCTCGTCACCGCCCGCCGGCCCAGAAGCGCCCGCTGACGCTTGGCGCCGACGACCCCGCTGATGGACGCGGTTCCAGTGCTCGACGAGGGCGATCGCGTCCGCCGGCGACGATCGGGCTGCCCGGCGAAGTCGTCGCTCGCTACCCAGAGGGTCTTGACACTCCGGAAATGCTTCAGCCTTAAGCATTGGGTCAACCCTTAAGCATTTTATCCGGGAGACTACAAAAACCACGCCGGGATAGTCCCCAAATGCTTAAGAAAACGCATCCCGCGCGCGCTATGTTTTGATTTATTTCCACGCGCGAGCGTTATTTTTTCAATGCGCGCGCGCGTTTCTTTGCAATTTTCGCGGGCGCGGCGCGGCTTTGCGACGCGCGCGCGCCTTTGTTTTGCAATCTTCACGCGCGCGCGCTTTTTTGTTAGTCCGCGCGCCCAAGTCGCAATGCATGTTTAATGCTCAGCGCGAGTTTTCACGCGACCAGGGGATAAACCAGCGCGCGCATCGCTGCGTTTCAACGCAAACGTGTTGTTTTTTTTTGTCCGCGCGCTGTATTCGCGCAAATTTTCGCGCGCAATCTGATATTCCAATGCGCGCGCGCTGTTGGTGTTTCTGTTTGCGTGCGCGCATCGCGGCTTCGCAACGCAAGCGCGTTTGTTCTTGCCCGCGCGTCGCATTCGCGCGAATTTCTGGCGCGCGCAATTGGATATTCCTCAAATGCGGTCGCGTTGTTCGCATTTCATTTTTCACGCGCGCGCGGCTTCGCAGCGCAAAAGCGCCGTGGTTGCGGCTCGCGCGCCGTATTCTCGCGACGTTTCGAGCGCGCAACTGGACATTTCACTGCGCGCGCCGTTCGCGTTCAGATTTTCGCATGGGCAAGAAGCGGCTTACGCTAACTTACGCTATCCAACGCCTGTTTGGCGCCACCCGCCCGGAGGTCAAACGTTAAGTCTGGGCGGTCCAAACGCATTCGGAGAGCGCCGCGGCTGGATTCGATGTGAGATTCTGGTCAGAACACGCCTCGTGGGCTTTTGCCCTGGGTTTTCAATTTTCTGGAACGAGCGGAGCTCGGCGGCGTTTGCTTCCTCCCGAGAGGGCAGCCCAAGGTATAATATTA